TAGGAAAAAAAAAATCATGTTCATGCAAACCACCAATACTGCCCAGATTCTTAATACTTTCCTTGGAAGCAAGACTGGTTAAACTTTAAGACATGGTCTAGCGAGATCTACCCATGCACCACATCACACCTGGCTTTTAAAATAGACCTGGAATCAAAACCCAGGTCTGCCATGTGGCTTCCAACTGCAGAATAGCAGCATCTTATTAGTGCATGCCACCAAAACTGGGCAAAGACTGGTTCAGACCTCATTTTCCTTTTATGAGTTCCTCTCTGTGGTTTAAGAATAGAATAGTTTGGAGTTAATTCACTAATGTCAATGACCCAACTGATAGTCCACAATCACCCCATATGATCAATAGAACTTATTCGGAAGTCAAGATGCATGGGAGCCCATATTCAAATGAAAATGAATATCCACAATGCACACTATTTCCTAGGCAGCACTTTCTCTACCATCTTCTGATATTTTTGCATATTCAAACCCCCTCACAATTGCAAATCACAAAGAAAATGCTGTGAGGTCCAGAAATGAGAGAAGAGGGCTTATTTTTCTTGTGGGTTGTAACCACAGCACCTACAATAACTTGCTCTGCACAGGCTGGCAGAAATGAGGTCAGGAACCAGAGCTACCTGTGGTGGGGGAGGGAGGAGGCCCAAAAACATACTGTAAATAACTTAGCCCATTGCGAGTGTTCAGTAAATAGCTTAATTACTTAATGTCATTTTCCTTCTTTGAGCCTCTCTGAGGTGTTCAAGGAGATAGTCACCAAACATCCTGACTTCTAAAACTACCACTCATTTCTTCATGCTACTGAGTTTGATTTTGGACTATTCAGGGTTCTCAAGGGGAAGGCACAGGCATGTGTCTAATTAGAGGGAATCTCTGCCATCATCACTCCAAGGGGAAATGTACGTGGATCCAGTGCCTATCCCAGATCCAGTCTGGCTACACCACAAGCTTAATTTTCTATAATCCTCATCGCCACCATGGAGTAGTTGTGGTTATCCCCATTTTACAGATGGGGAAACTGAAGGTCAGGGAAATGAAATGCATCACTCGATAGCATATACTTACTAAATTTGGGGCCCCAGATTAAAATCTGAGGGTACTAGATTCCAAAGTACATGTTATTTCCACTGTGTTAAACAGCCTCTTTCCCGAGCAAGTGTCCACATACATGGGCAGCAGGCTGAGCTGGGATAATCACAGGGCACGGAGCAAAGGGGATGCAGAGAGGACTGGCACCACCCTTCCAGTTACCACTCTGTTTTCTCTTCACCGACCTGCCAAATCTCTCCAGATTGCAACTGCCTGGTACCCACATATCCTGGCCTCTTAGCTGTCTATTTTTATTTATTTATTGATTGATTTTTAAGAGAGATTTTTGCTATAGGGTTCCTGTGCTTGCTGGAGAGACAGAGAGATGAGATAGAAAACGAGAAATTAGCACCCAAGGGGAATGGCCACACCACTATCCCTTCTCCTTCATTATCCTCTCAGGATTTTGGACATGCATGCACATATGCCCAGTGCGAGTTTTAAGCTGCTGGATCTGGGACTTGAATTGCAGTCAACCACAAGGGAGTCCAGCAATGTAACCATTACGTCATTAGCTGGTACCTTAACTGTTTATTAATTTTGACTTAAAAAATAAAACAAAAACGGGGCCAGACAGGAGTGTAGTAGTAAAAAGCAATGCTCTGCGAGGCAATCTCACATGGGAGGTTCCTAGTTCAAGTATAGAATCTCTACTCCCTGAGCACACCGTGCACATGGTTGTCCATAATACAGAGCTGGCTACAGCCTAGGGGTGGATCATGGCATTAAGACTGTTGGGAGGTGTTATCTCTCTCTCACACTCTGTTTCTCTTGATCATGGAAGAAAAATACTTAAAAATTAAAAAAAAAAATTTAAGGTTAAGAATAATGGGCCTGGCAGGTGGTGTGGTGGGTAAGTATACTGGACTCCCATATGGCTAACTATGGTTTGAGTCCCAGACCTTGTGGCTTGCTTTCTTTCTCTCTCTGTCCCTTTCTGGTCAAATTAAAAAATAAATGAATAAATAAGCAATAAAGTTAAATAAAATACTTCAAAAAATAGTTTAAGAATAAAACAAAGATGTAGGCCTCATCTTTGAGGTGGGTCCTTTTCTTAAACCACAGCTGTCAGACCTGGACCAGCTTTTTCCCTCTTTGTTTCTTTTCTGCTCTAATTTGTGCTCAAAACCAGATCTTTCTAAAATGCAAGCCTGGTCATCATGCTTCCTGGGGAAAAGCTCTGTGGATCCCCATCATTCTCAAGATAAACTCCACCTGCCTTACCTACGCATGGGTTTCTCCATGTCCTGTGTAACCCTTACCTATAAAACCAACCACATCTCCTGTCACTTTATTTTCTAGTCATTTCTTTCGTAAAACTTATGACACCAATATTTTCTTTCTTTTTTTTTTTTGTTTTTGAGACATTTTTGCTATAGAGTGTGTGTGCTCACCAGAGAGACAGAGAGAGACAGACAGACAGCGAGAAATCACCCCCCCGCCCAGGGGGATAGCCACACCACAATCCTTTCTCCTCCATTTTGGAGGGAATTTTGGGCATGCACACACATGTACCCGGTGTGAGTCTCGAGCTGCTAGGTCTGGGAATCAAACCATAATTAACCATGTGGAAGTCCAGCAACATAACCTATTATGCCATCTGCTGGTCCCACGACAGCAATATTTTCAGTGGCTATGGCAAATATTTAAGTGCCTGGATTCTCGTTCTTTCTGTTTTAGTGAGACAGCCTCTGCATTGATCAAGGACCAGCTCTTGTGATCTGTTCTGAGAAGTCCCACCCCCACCCCTCACATGTAGTCTCTGGACACTTTGTACCTGTTTCCCATGTCTCCACTGTAGAACTCAACACCTTGTATCAGACAGTTTGCATGTCTTTCTACTCCAGGGATGTATACTGTCCTCTCTGTAAACCTAGCGGGTGACATGCAGCACAGTGCCTTTCTTAGTGAACATTTGTTGATTAACTAGACTCAACACCCAAGTTCATAGATACATAGTAATGTACTGGTTTTATTTAGAGAAAGTCAAAGCTGCCTCCAGGTTTCACTTTTGGTCTTTTGAAAATGAACTGAACTCTATACTTTCTAGTTTTTAGTGTTTAATTGTCTTAGGAAGAGCTGAATGGTTTTGGAATTGACCTGACGAGCTTTAGTTCAGAGGTTGACTTTGAACCGATTTCATTCATTCCAGTCATGTTGAAGTAATAGGCTTGTGCTTTACATGTGTTATTTACTTTGGGTGCCCTGGTATGCCATTTGAGAGCCCTCTAGAGTCTAGCAGGTGACATGGAGGTTAAGGAGACTGGATCCTACATGGCTGACTTTGAAGTCTGAGTTCCAGACCTGGTGGCTTGAAAATTACTCTGGGTAGAACCAGCAGATGGTATAATGGTTACATCACTGGACTCCCATGTATCAAACATGGTTCAAGTCTCGGACCTGGTGGTTTAAAACTCATGTTGGGTCCATGTGCATGCGTGCCCAAAATCCTAAGGAGAGAATGGAGGAGAAGGGATTGTGGCATGGCTATCTCCTCTGGGGGTGATTTTGTGCTTTCTGTCTCTGTCTCTCTGGTGAGAGCAGGCGCCCTATAGCAAAAAATCTCTCTTAAAAGAAAGAAAGAAAGAAAGAAAATTACACTGGGGACATGTGTGTGCATGTCCAAAGTTCCGAGAGGAGACTGAAGGAGAAGGGATCATGGTATGGCAGTCTTGCCCCTTTCCCCCAGGGGGGATGAGTTTTCACTCCCTCCTCCACCCTGTCTGTCTCTGGTGAGCACACATGCTATAGCAAACTAAAAAAAAAAAAAAAGAAAGAAAGAAAGAAAAAGAAAAGCAAGAGAGAGAGAAAAAAAAAGCCCCTTAAATCCTTATCTTTGAGATTGCTTTTGTTTTTTTGTTGCTATTAATGGCTTTCTTGGAAGTCTCTGGTAGCCCCTATGAAAAGCAGCAAGTTTTGGGACCAGCAGTTAGCATAATGGCTATGTTGCTGGACTCCCATGTAGTTGACCGCAGTTCACGTCCCGGACCAGGTGGCTTAAACTCATGCCGGGTGCGTGTGCGTGCATGCCCAAGATCCCGAGAGGAGAATGGAGGAGAAGGGATTGCGGCATGGCCATCCCCGCTGAGGGTGATTTCTTGCTTTCTGTCTCTCTGTCTCTCTCTGTCTGTCTGGCGAGCACACGCGCCCTATAGCAAAAACCTCTCAAAAAAAAAAATGGAGAAGGGACTGCAGTGTGACCACACAAAAAAAAAAAAGAAAAGAAAAGCAGCAAGTTTCTCCTCCAGGACTAAGTCAGGTTGTATTTGGAATGCCAAGGGCACACACTAGTGTTTGATTCTTTGCCCTCATGTAAAGTATAAAATGATGAACCAGCCCAGCCTCTTACAGCATCCAGAACTCTGGTTTGAGTCCTGGACCTGGTGGCTTAAACTCATGCTGGGCGTGTGTGCATGCATGCCCAAAATCCAGAGAGGAGAATGGAGGAGAAGGGATTGTGGTGTGGCCATTATCCCTGGGAGGTGATTTTTCACTTTCTGTCTGTCTCTGTGTGTCTCCCCAGCAAGCACAAGTGCCATATAGCAAAAATCTCTGTTAAAAGGGGGCGGGGGCGGGTTAAGATAATCTACTTTGGAAGCCTGAAGCAGCTAGTCCAGCTGTCACCAGAGCCCCAGCCAACCGTTAGATTTTCATATATCACATTTGTTGACAATGATCACTTAATAGACTAGGTATCCTCCTTCCTAGAAGCTCATGACAACAAGTTGCAGATGCATGTTTCATTGTTGAAACTAGGTTAAACTTAGCAGATTTAAGAAGAGTTGCAGTTGTTTTCTAATTTTCTGGTGTGTGTGTGCTAGCCAAGGCCAGAAACCACCTTCCAGGAAAGGAGAGGAAAGGCATACAGGATCACTGGGTTTTCACACGGTGGTGCCTACCTGTGATCATGCTCAGTGCTGACAGGCAGGCTAAGGCTTGGATATCAAGGTTCAGGCTCTGCAAATTTAAGGAAAAGTCTTTAATGGAGTCGAGCCACTCCCCAAATCCACGAAGGCACTGAAGTCGGTGCAGGACAAGTCCATTGCAGAACACAAACTTATCTTCAGCAGTGCTCGACCTGAGGGTGGGGAGGAGAGATGCATTAAACCAGCCTGTCCAGTCTGTCCCACACACTAGCATCCTGACACACAGGCACCAGACAAGCATGCATTAGTGTTCAGACCACAGCATGGTGCTAGGAAGCATGCCTGGACACCCGTGATGGACATCACTGTGTTTCTGGGGATAAATATCAATAGCAACACTTGTCTGTGCTAATAATGCCTTTGGTGAAGATCAGCCCAGTGGAAGATGGGAATGGTGGACATCCACTGTCTTATTTCTAGAATCAATTACTGGCTTGTTCCAGGACAGGATGTGGGAGCCGGCACCCATGAACTGCAGAGGTGGAGGAGCCAGTGTACTGTCTCTGCAATGGATATGGGGCTGCTCCCTTCAAGGCTCCTGAGTCAGGGCTTGTCCCTCGTTTTCTGAAAAGTAGAAAACTGATAAGGCCTGAAGCTAGACACTACAATTTCATTGTACAAACTCTAAAAACAGTCTCTTTAAGTGCGTGAAGTCAATCACAAACTAAAAACTGGCCCAAATAAAATGAGTCTTTGATTTTTATTGCCTTCCCTCTGCCTTTCACGGTGAGACTCAGAGGGCTATTTCTCAATCTTCCCTGATAGTTTATATTATGTTCATCATCATCTCATTCTTTTCTCTCATGAAAGGTGACCTGGAACTTCTAATTGGACATCCCTGTTCAGTGGTGTGGCTTTGGGCATTCCTTTAATCTCTCTGGACTTTCTTTTCCTAGTTATAAAATAGGAATTCTAATTTTATTTAATTCCCTTAACACCTTTAGGAATACCTCCTAAGATTGTTGAGAGAATTAGATAAAAGAAAGGATTTGAAACCCCACACACAGCTCCTAATACACAGGAGGATTCAACAAGTATTAGATGGAACTAATTCTGAATTCTCTGTGGTGCTACTTTCCTCTTAGCTTTTCTTTAAATTTTAAATCTCTTGCCACATATTTATCTATCCTGGTCTACAGCATTTACAATGCCTTTAACTGTGCTTCTTGGATGAATGGCATTATTCATTCTTTCACTCAGCACCAGTATGTGCCTTTCCTGGAGTCAGCACTGGAGGAAACCCAGTAAACAGGACCCATCATACCTGCTTGCTTGGAGCTTATCACATACTTTATCCTTTACTGTGTGTCTAATAGATCAGGAGTCCCCACCCCCCAGGCTGCTGCCATGCAGTAGGGGGATTGGAGGGGTTGGCAGGCAGGTAAGGGAGGCTTCCTCTGTGTTTGCAGCTGCTCCTCATCACGTACACTGCCACCTGGGCTCCGCCTTCTCTCTGATTAGCAGTGGTAGTGGATTCTTATGGGAGCTCAAGCCCTTTTGTTGTGAGGTTGTTTGATTGGATATTGCAATGTGGTAGTGGTGGAAAGGGGGTGCACAGTGGATGTCGTGAGCTTTGGTCATCTGGAATGAACCCCCTGACCCGTCTGTGTAGGGACTGTTTTCCATGAGCCAGTCCCTGGTGCTGGGGAGATTAGGGACTGCTAATGTAATAGATGACAGTCGCTTTGCTAGTTTGGCTGTGGTGTACAATGGACTGGCTGTAATTAAGCTAATTACTTGTGCTCTAGTTGTACCTCCACCCTGTCTCTCCCACTCATCTCTTTACAGAAGCACACACAGGAAGAATGACTCATTCCCAGAGCTAATGGACCTCCAACCACTGGCATCAGAATCACCAGAGCATGAATTAAAAATGCACATTTCTAGACTTTTCCCAAGGTCTACCAAACCATAATAAATAGGAATAAGGCATGAGGCACAGGAACCTGGATTTTAAAACAGGAGTTTCTGGTGTCACGGTGTGAAGTTTGGGAGGGGATGATGGGAAGATAAAGGAGGAAAGATGATGATTTTTCCTATATTTGGTGAAATGTTGGTACCACTTCTTAAAAATGTATAATGGAAAGGAAGCAAGGAGAAGAAATTAAACATGCTATTTGTGAATAAAAACAATAATAAAATAGGTTTTAAAACACACACGCACACACACACACACACACACACACTCACACACAAGAACAAGCAGGTGATGTGAAGGTTAAGAGGGCTAGATCCCACATGGTGAACTATGTGGATTGAATTCTAGACCATTGCCTTGAAAATCAAGCTAGGCATGTGTGTGCATGCACACCCAAAATCCCAAGGGGAGAATGGAGGAGAAGGGATTGTGGTGTGACGGTCCCTGGGGGGTTGGGGACAGAATTTTTCACTCCCATCTCCCATTTCTGTCTGGTGAGCACATGTGCCCTAAAGCTAACTTAAAAATAAAAAGGAAGAGCCACATGAGAAATTTAAGAGAGGAGTTTAGATCCAAGGTTCTAACTGTTTGAAAAATCCTTTTTTGTGGTTTGGTGTTACTAAGTGTGATGGTTGGACCAAATCTTTAGTATGACCTGTTCTCTTGGAGTAAACACCGGGGATTGAAAGCTTTAAAAACTCGTTAGAACTCATTAGATATACTAGAATAGTAACTTGTTAAATAGAAACCTATGAGGTAGGGGCTGGCAGGTGGTGTGTTGGTTAAGGTGCTGGACTCCCACATGGCCGACCATGGTTTGAGTCCTGGACCTGGTGGCTTGCTTTCCCACTCTCTCTCTCCCCTTCTCTCTCCTCAGGTCAGTTTAAAAATAATTGTAACAAATAAAATAATTATTAAAAACTAAGAAACCTTCAGGTAAATGTAATATTCCAAAGCAAATACTTGCTCCCAGAAAATACATTATGTACCATGAGAATCTTCTATGATTTTAGAATGTTGGAAGTGCAAGGGGCTCTGGGTATCACCAAATCCAACTTCTTTTCCTTCTTTTTTTTTTTATTTTTTGAGAGATTTTCGCTATAGGACGTGTGCGCTCACCAGACAGAGAGAGACATAGAGACAGAAAACAAGAAATCACCCCCCAGGGGGATGGTCACACCGCAATCCCTTCTCCTCCATTCTCCTCTCGGGATCTTGGGCACGCATGCACATGCGCCCGGCGTGAGTTTTAAGCCACTGAGTCGGGGACGTGAACCGCGGTCGACTACATGGGAGTCCAGCGACATAGCCATTACGCTAACTGCTGGTTCCCCAAATCCAACTTCTTTATATAACAAAGGAGAGAGTTTAATTTCTAGTGACACCAGTGACTTGCTCAGGGCCGTATAGCAAGTTCGGGTTAGACCTGGGACTAGAACCCAGAGGTCCTGGTTGTCAGTCCAGTGCTCTTTCTAGTACCCACTACTCAGTTTTTGAAATGCCTGCTCATATATATATATATACACACTTTAATTATTTTATTACACTTTATTTATTTATTTATTTATTTATTTATTTATTTATTTTAACTTGACCAGAGAGAGAGAGAGAGCAAGCGTGCGTGCAAGTCACCAAGTCTGGGACTCAAACCATGGTCAGTCAGCCATCTGGGAGTCCAGCACACTTAACCACCATGCCACCTGCTGGCCCCGAAATACCTGCTCATATTTTACATTTGCTTCCTGAGCACACTTTTCACTAATGATTCAGTTACAAACACAAAAGATTTCTAATTTCTTCAAAGGAAATAACGGAAGAAAGATAAAAATAACAGTAATTTACCTGATGGAAAGTCTGAGAACAAACAGCTCCAAAAAGGCTGATTCTATAAGTAATGTCTGATCTTCTTTGGGGAGATCAGTGAATCCCGGAATCTTTTCTGCCCAACTTCTGGATACGTCAATGGAGGCTGTGAGAAGGTTGTAAAATTGTTGCACGTGCTCAGCATCCGTGCCTGCAGCGGCCTGGTCAGTGGGACAGTACTAGAACACAAACCACACAAAACATTACCTTGGTTCCTTAGCGATAACAACATCTTCTGCAAATTGGCTCTTAGAAGACTGTCATTGTTTAAATTCTTATTTTGGGTCCCACACTTTACAAAACTCTTACATATCCACAATCTCATCTAATTCTCACAATGACCCCTGTGATATAAGTAGAGGAAACTTTATTGTTATCATTTAATAGACAAAGAAATTTGCCTAAGTCCCATTAGTGCAGTGGTTTTCAACCTTGACTGTACACTGCAACCATCTGGGGAGTTTTAAAAAACACTCTCGTCTGGATCCTATGCCCAGAGATTTTAATTTAATTAGTCTAGGGTGGGACCTAGGCTTTGGGAATTTTAAAGCTCCACTGGTGATTCTGAAGGGTGGACCCCACAGAACTACTGCCCAGGGTGTGTCCCAGTGGCCTTCAAGGGTCTGCTGATTCCGAAAACTGTCTCCATACAAGATGCAAAATTAACCTAGTGGTTCTCAAAGTGTGGTCTCTGGACCAGCAGCATCAATAACATTTGGAATATGGTAGAAATTACTGTATAATCTCAGGGGTCACCCCAGACTTACTTAATCAAAAGCTCTGGGGGTCAGCCCAGCTGGTTCTATTGTATCAAGGCCTCCAGGGTATTCTTGTGCATAATAAAGTTTGAGAATCACAAAATTAATCAACAGGAGAAAAGAATGATTTCTTCATGTCATTGATGGATTTGTGTGAGATAAAACAAACCAGAAATGGGGAAAGTGAGGTCTTCTAGGCAGAGTACTTGCGGCTACTTAAATGAATAAAAATTAACCGAAATTGAAAATTCAGTTCCTCAGTCACATTAGCAATATTGAAAGTGCTCAATAGCCATATGTGGTGTGGAAAATTTTCATCACTCCAGAAAGTTCCATTGGACATCACTGATCTAAAGAATCCCAAGAGAAGCACAGTAGGAATAAAGTCTCTAAGCAACTTTTGGGTATTCTCAAAGAGCCAGGGTTTTGCTTTAATCACTGGAAGACAACAAAAGTCAACCAACAACACAGAGATTTAAAAGATGTGCAGACATTCACGGAAATGTGCACAGCTTTTCTTTTTTCACAGTTGCACAGCCACATGTGATTTTGAATCTCTTCTCCCAACTTCTCCCCAGGATCCTCATAGGGCAGGGATTTTAACCGTTATTTTACCATTGAGAAAACTGAGGCTCAGCAAAGCTAACAGACTTCCTGAAGTTACATAAGTAACTGCTATAGCTGGGACTTACACTGGCCTAGGATTTGAAGTCCCATACCTCCTGGATGTTAATATGTCTGATATGACTAGTTGGGAGCCCATGGAATCATTTTTCGAAATATTCGCTTTAAGTAAAGCATTTTGCTTTATTCTAATTGAGCTCTTCAGGTATGTATTCCTTGTTCCCATGTTTCCATCAATAGCACTGTGACTAGTGCATTGCTGATCCTCAGTGAATAGTTCTTGATTTTTTTTTTTTCAATGAAAGAATAATCAGAGGATACTTAAGTTTGCCACAACGTCCTAACCTGGTTGGAAGAGAAATAACCAATAAGTAGCTTGATGCTTATTCTATAGCTACCTAGGTATGTGCACATGTCTTAGCTGGTCTCTTGTCTGGTATGTGTTTTCACAAGAAGCAACAAGGAATGTCAGTTCTGTCCTGGCCCCTGATTTGTGAAACAATGTAGCATTACTTCACTTTTCTGAGCCTCAGTTTTCTCCTCTGTAAAATGGGGTAGTAATGCCTCCCTCAAGTTTTTGTTGTGATGATTAAATGTGATTACATATGTGAAGGGCCTGTCCTTGGTTAACAAATGACGAGAGATGATACTGATCAGTTATGAAATGTGTAACTACTACTGTTCCTAGTGTCCATGTTTATAAAACAGGTTGAAGTGGAAGGTTTCTAATTTTCATTCTTCAATTTCTAAGATCCTATAGTAGTGTGTTCAATTCAGAGCCCTGAATCCTCTGTTTCCAATAGTCCCTCACAGCCCTGGCATTCTGTTAAGCCCTGAATATTCTGTGATATAGTGGACCATGGGAGCCAAGTCCAGGAGAAGGAAGCAGTTCTTCCCATGGATATTCGAGGAGGTGGCATGTCTTGTGTCATAGACACTACCCATTCCTTCCTTTCAGCACAAACCCTATTAACTGGAGGAGAATAGAATAAAGAAATTAACTTTATTTTTTTAAAAATTTCTCCTCCTCGATGAATATAATTCTATATATTCTCTAAGGACAGAATACAATTTAGGGAAGAACTCCCTTTTAAAATCCTAGAGCACTGTATGTGAAACTCCCAAGTGAGTGGTATTAAAGAGCAGGGGAAAGTATGTTGAACCAGATACCAGGTCATGGCTCTCTCATCCAGGTTCTGGCATTGATTTGCTGTGGAACTCTAGACAAGTCACTTAACTTCTCTGGGTTCATCTCTGCCTCTGAAGTAGGAATCAACTAGTTGAGCTGATCCCTATAAGATTCTTTCTGGCTGTTGCATTCAATGATTTTTTTAAAAAAAGTTATTTAATTAGAGGTTGGCAGGTGGCATGGTTAAGGGTGTTGGCCTCCCCTGTAGCCAACCACGGTTCATGTCCTGGATCTAGCAGTTTGCTTTCTCACTTTCCCTCTCTCTCTCTCTCATTCTAGTCAAATTAAAATACACAAATACATAAATAAAGTTAAGTAAAATAATTCTTTTCAAAGTATTTAATTTTATTATTATTATTTAATTTGCTATAAGGCATGTGTGCTCACCAGTGAGAGACAGAGAGAAAGAAAGAGAGAGAAAGTGAGAAACCAAGCCTTCCAGTCTGGGACTCAAACCACGGTCAGCCATGTGAGAGTCCAGAGCCTTAACCACTAGACCACCTGCCAGCCCTGCATTCAGTGATTTTAAACGTTGCTAAACATACCAGGCATGATGTTCTTGCCTAGAATCTTACACTGATTCAGCATTATTTTGTTTTAAAAATAGTGGGTTAAATGGAGAGAAAAAAGACTAACGGATGTAAATTTTCCCCAGGGAGTGGGATCTAATAACTCTGTCCTGCACTGACTTCAACTTCCCTGAAACCATGGCTTACAACTCAACAATCTCTCTTTCTGATTTGTTCTGAATCCACTAGAGCGTATAGCTTTCACCCAGGGTCCTCTGCAGGCCTCTGCCCCTGCTGGGCTCACATTTCATGCCTCCTGCACACAGGAAAATGCAGTCTCTGCCTATCCAGTGTGTGTACTTTTCTCTGAGGGAGCCCAGCAAGGAGGGAAGCCAGCAGGGCCAGCCTGCCAGACTCCAGCCAGGCCCTCTGGGCTTCACCTGCAGTGATTCTGGTCTACATCCCAGATTCTGGAGCTACACTGGATTCAGCCTGAGCCACCAGTAACTGGGGGGTGACTGGAGGGTCAACATCCAATGCTTGGCAAAAAATAAAACCCGAGTGTTTCCTCCACTGAACATAAGGTTTAAAGACACAAAACATTTTAGATTCTTCCTCTGCCTGGGCTAGTAGTTTGAAAAAAACCTCACCTAAGGAATACTGGACCTGGAATTAAATAACCAGATCCAAAGTTCTGCTTCTGTAATTCCCTAAAATGTCTCTTATCTGGGCTAGGTAGGTCTGGGGTTTGCCAAAGAAAATATGGAAATATTTGCTTATTGGCATGCCAATCAAATATAAGCCAAATACAGAAAGATTATTGAAATGAACTTTCAGGATCCGACAGGTATTGTGGTAGTTAAGGACTCCCATATGGTTGACTGCGGTTCGAGTCCTGGTCTTAGTGGCTGGCTTTCTCACTTCCCTTTCTCTCTCTCTGTCTCTCTCTGGTCAAATTAAAAAATAATAATAATAAAAAAATTCTTAAAAAATAAAGTGAACTTTCCCTATTTATGTTCATTTTTATTTTTGTCTATAAGGATAATTGATCTACCAGAATCCTGGCTTTACTGCTAGTCAAAGACACAGTATTATATTTACTGACAGCTGATGCCCAGTGAAAATTTCTCTAAAGCACCTAGAATGAGAATCCAGAGCTGCGACAACAACAATGGATATTGTTTAAACTAAAATGATCACATCTTATACAGCTATACAAGTCAAACTTCAGCAACAGCATAGGCCTAAAATAAGATATTTGAAAAGGAATTAAGTGAGACCCTTGGTGAACACTAGCTGCCAAAAGTCATCAATGTGATGCTTTAATAGCAGAATCGAATCTAATATTTATTCTATCTCACTTTCAGCCCTGGCTAAATATGTAAACTATCCTAAGGACATGTTTTTCTCCACTTAAAAATGTCACTTTTCTTTGGGTCTTTATATCTCTAAAATTTTCAGATGTGATCATTCTTGAGTTAAACTATGTATACATAGGCTTAGGTTTTAACACTTTAAAAAGTGACATTTTAAAAATTGGCAATAAAAAATTGGCAATGAATATAGTTTTCCCCCAAATTTCTTCTTTACTGCTCTGCCTATTCCCTCCCTACTTCCTGCTAAAAACCAAAATAATCCTCTCCTTGTACCAATGATATCAGTACACTCTATGCTACATTCCTTCCCCACTGCTTCCCTGGATGTGAGCACCAGGCATCTTGTTCAACAGTGTGTTTACTGACCTAAACAGTGCCTGACACCCAGCAGCCATTCAATCAATATTTGTTAAATGAATTAACTACTTTCTGGAAAAGTTATATCTCTATTGTTCATATTTTCTCAAACCCCCCCCCCCAAAAAAAAAAAACCTAGAAAATTCATGGTAAAATAGAATTGCTATTTCCAAACTATTGGTATGTTGGTAGTTCTCAAACTTTAGTGTGCCAAAGAAACATCTGGGGCACATATCAAAATACAGGTTCCTGTCTGCCTTCCCCTCCCCTAATTCTTATTCAGTAGGTATGGGTGGGTCCTGGGCATCTGCATTTTTCGAAGTGTGTTTATAAACCTAGAAAATTCATGGTAAAATAGAATTGCTA